CGTAAAAATTTCAATATTTACTATGTTTTATTATAGAAAAGATCTTCATTCCGGTGATCAATGTCAGGGGAGTGTACATAGATAAATTATAAATGTGTATAATGAACCAAACATGATCGATGATATCTTTATTTCAATTGCGAATAGTAATTTATTATTAAAATCTAATGTATAAGTTTAAATATTATCAAAATTTGTAGATCACACTCTAATTTGATATTCATAACCCTTTATAAGTTTTAACTTTGAATGAAGGTTTCTCTACAACCACCAGACCAAATTTAATGAACTCTTATTTATTTGAATTCTATAGATACGTAGAATTCAAAAAAAAAAAAGTTCATTAATTTGGCCCGGTGGTTGTCAAGAAACCTTCGCTCAAATGTTAAAAAAATTCAACGAAATTTTTCTTGACAACCATCAACCTAATTTTGTGGTAACCATCGGGCCAAATGATGAATTCAATTAAAAAACGTTTATTGAATTTGGTTTAGTAGTTTATGAGATATATTCACTCAAAATATGAAAATTTTGGCGCAGCTTCTATTTTGATAGACGGGTTGAGTTTTTTTTAATTAAAACTTTGAGCGAAGATATCTTGACAAATACCAAGCCATTTCTGTGATCATTTTTTTTATTTGAATTCTATAGATTAGTAAAATTCAAAAAAAAAAACAAAATTCATCGAATTTGACTTGGTGGTTGTCGAGATATCTTTGCTCAAAATTTGAGAAAATTTTTATTTGATAGATGTTTTATTTTTAAAAATTTTGAGCGAGATATCTCGACAGCCACAAAGCCAAATTCGATCTTTTTTTAATAAAAAAAAATTATTAAAATTTGCTTAATATTTGATGAGATATCTTTGCTCAAAGTTTTGATAGACGTTGAGATTTTTAAACCTTTGACTGATGCTTGGTGATAACCGAGTTAAAAGCTCAATGAATGAAAGCTTATTTTCGACGCTCTAAATTTTTGACCAATGATCGAATAATTATTCATCGATTCCACCCTCTAGTCTCGGAATAACAATAGATGTAATGCCGGCTGAATTAAACGGTTAACACGGTTAAACAATTTTATTTGCAGTAAATGCTGGAAATTTTGAATGATTTTTTAATTTTTAATAATAACGATTTAATGCAATTTAAACCTCTCACATTATACTAACAGAAAAACTATCCCCTTAAATAATTTAACATGATCTAAATATACACGTGCAATCCTAACTTCATCGATTATCGTTTACCTTCAAGCCTATATATGTAGGGTTTTAACACCTGCTTCACAGCATTTCTCCAAGTTTGCTTTCTGATTTTATCAATTCCATTCAGGACTAGTCTTTCTCGCCATTCTGAAAAGTTTTCATTTTTAGTTTCAACACTTGTTGATTCATCAGCTGTTGATTCTAAAATGGTCTCTACATTTCTAACGTCATCTCCCTGTTTTTTTTTGCGCTGCTTTTTGCCGGTTTTGGCTATGTTACCAGATTCCTTCTCACCCTTATGTAACGCACCTACACAGGTTTTTTCCATCATTTCAACAACTGTCAACAGGAATATGTATAAATTTTCCTCAGACTTAGGAAAGTCAGATAGTATAACAAGCGCCTGTGTAATAGTATAAAAGATATAAACTAAAAAACTCAAACTAGCGGTAGTTCGGGTAATAAAGCTAATCTGAAAACACAAATAACATTTTAAATAAATCGATGATCTCAAATTAATATTAAAAAAAATTAATTACCTTTAATACATTTATGATATTTTGAGTGATATGTATATCATTAATTGTCACAGGATGCGTGTTATCACTATCCTCTTCAGAAAGTAATGATGTTAAATCTTCTCTTTTCTGCTCGGCTTTTTTCTCCTTGATATGTTTTAGGGCAGACAAGATATTTATCAATGAATATCTAACACAGCATAATGTTATTCTTTCTGATAAAACAAGGTCTTTTGTTAGTATCTATCAATAGACTCATGATAAAAAAAAAAAAAAAAAATTAACCTTCAATTGCAAACTCGGACATAAAGCTTTCGTTTATATCGTTACATTCAATGTCAACTAACAACAATTCAGTGGCCGATAAAATACCATATGAAATCAAGTTTTTTAATAGCATATCTAGCATATTTCTAGATTCTTCGTCTACACTTTTTTCAAGAACATAACAGAACGAAAAGGGTGCAACGGTCCAGAAAATATTTCGCAGAATTGGTTTTGAAATAGATTGAACAACATTGAGCGACTGAAATAAATAACCGGTGCTAAATGAGATTAATTAAACGAGCATTTTATTCATCTAGCGATTAATTAATGCATTGAATAAATTCTAAATACCAAACTAAATTTCTTGCACCAATAAATTGAGATTTTACAAGCTTCTAAAAACAACAATAATTGCTTCATCGTTTTCTCTTGACCAAGTATATTAGCTTCTTTCTCGTCGATTATTGTAAATTCCTGATCAGATAATTCACAAAAAGAAAAAAGCAAAACTGGCACGGAGGGTTTTTCTATCTGGAAACCAAAACAGCCCGCACAAATTTCGAAGAAGGGACGGAAGTACAATTGAGTAGTCCAATCTTGAAAAAATAATAGTGATTGTTAAAAAAAAAAGCCTTTGTTTTGAAAAAAGTATTAAGGAATTTTGCATAAAAATTTTCACTCACTAAAGTCCAAAGATTGTTTATAAAAGCATTGAATAATGGAAGAATTGGATCTATGCATTTCTAATAAAAGTAGGTATATATACTATAGTTAAACATAACACATTATTTGTACATTCAATGGAAATAACTTACCATCTTTATCATAATCGTCTTGAATTGACATGATATATCCGGTTAATAATCCCATAAACTCTTTTAGCAAGGCATAAAGAATATCTATAGTTTTCATATGAACCAACATTGCTTCACGTTGATCAAACAGTGTAGCAAGGCTATGTAAAAGCGAGAATGGCTCTGATTTCATAAACCAACATGAATCGAATCGAGGAAGAGTCGACACACTGGGAGGCAATAAGGAGTTGAGGGTGTAAAGTGCCAAGTATATCGTGGTTTTTCTGCCAAGGGATGTTGAAGATGCAGGAAATGAATTCTGCAAATAGGTCAACACGCAATTAGCGATGTATTCGCGAATATCAATTAAGATGTCGTTATTGCCCCACTCCCCAATTTCTGTTAATGTATGTTCTATTGCTAACTTGGTAGAATTACCCTATTTATATATCAAATGATGTTAATTAAACTGATTATGAAAATGAAAAGGTAGTATTGGCATTGTTATTAAACTAAAACTTTACCAGCATCGCATGCACGACGAATTCATTCCAATTCTTTTGTTCCTGACGCGCCAAAACAACGGAACCATCGTCAATTTGAAGCAGTATATCTTTAAGCACAATTATGAACAGTGAGGGAGATTTGGGGGTTTGACGAAGCCAACATATAGATCTTATATTACGCAATATATCAAGAATTATTAACCATTGCCCTTTATTATGAATGGACTCCCACGCAAGTTTGTGTAATACGTGGTAAGGAGATATTAAAGATAACTTTCAAAAGATAAGCGAAAGATAAAAATTATGATAAAAGAATCACAGAAACTGACAAAATAATTACCAGAATCAGTGAATCTACTATTTGCAATTTAAATGGATCGGATTTGCCCAACGTTTGATCTTCTGTTGTCTTCGTAGGGATATCGTCCATCGAAGAAACCAATTGATTACATATTGTAGTAAGCCGTTGTTCAAAATCAAAAGACCAGATTGTCCAAGAATCAAAAGTCGGCGATGTAATCGCTGAAGCGGGCAATCTTACGTAAATAAATGAAAGCATTGATTATTTAATTAATAGAAGATTGCTATATATAGCATTATTATAATTCAAAAGTAATCAAAACATACCTATCTAAAATCATAAAATCTCGGAATACATTTTTTGTACGTAGTGGCATAAGACCAAACATCATAATCAACAATTCAATAACAGCCTAATAGAAAGTTAAGTGAAAAATCGATACTTAATTAAGAAATTTCATTAAGGTAGTACGTACCTTAACTACTTTATTGTGTCCTTTTGGAAGAAATACTTTAACAATTCTTTTGACACTTTGATATAACTCCGTGCATAGACCGTGTTCGAGAATCATAGCTGCAAGTTGTTCAACACTGTATTCAAATCTATAACATTCGTAATTAAACATAAATTAAGATATTTACTCGAGTTGTCAAGCATATGCATTCCATTGCTAAAACAATTTCTAAAGTCCTATACGAAAAAACACACCCAACGAAAAGATCAAAATATTGAATCATCAATTTTAAGAGGGATATATAGCCGGGAAGACCAAGATATATGCTCTCTTGTACCCACTGACAATACTTTTCAAGATCCATTCTAACAGGGCGCATAGTAGATGGACTCAACTCCGAAGATAACTTGGAATTAGTTATTCGAAGAGCAAATGATGTATCATATGCAAGGTTTGCACGAACCGTGCGACATATTGTGACAAATGCTTCTTCGTGTTTGTTTAGGCCAATGTCTTTTTCTGCCGTAGTCGAAATTTCAAATCGATTTAAATCATAATTCTTCACACGATCGACTACATTTGCGTGCCTGGCTTTATCTTCTTGTAGGCTAATTGTTTAAGATGAAACACCAAATTTCATGAGTGAACAGCTATTTAAACATTATAAGAAATAATTATACAAAAACAATAACACACAGTTTAATCATTAAGTCTGAACGTGGCTACAAACAAATGAAATTAATTGGGTTGAATTGCGATTCATACAAATAAAGTAATTAGAATAAATACTTTAAGCTTAAAAGGTTGTTGTGGTAGTGAATCAATATCACTCGCGTATTTGAATAAATTCGAAAAGGCATTTTTTTCAGCAATCGTTGGATCAGCTTTCAACGTGATGAAATAATCTGATGTAAGAGAAAACAATTATATTTTTGGAATAAGAAATACTTTTAATTACCATTTACAATATTATCATCATATTGCAAAAAATAAATGCGCAATATTTGCCTGATTTTATTAATTTCAGAACCATCTTGCGAGTAATTAACAACATCGAAGACTTTATATGATCATTTAAATCTTGGTTGGACCACGCAACAAACATTATATATTCAAAGATGGCCAAAAGAGAAAAGATACAGCTTGTGTCCTCAGTTATTGACAATTTTGGGTTATGTAGCAGGTCTTCAATAAGTCTAAAATTGGTATTGTGAAAGAATATAATTAGTGAAGCAAAAATATAAAGATAAAGCTTAAATAAAATAACGTACAGAACGGTGTTTATTTGAAGACTCTCCTGCTGAGACACGCTACGAACAAGTTGTTGTCGAGCTTTATATAGTGGTCTCACAGATCGATGAGAATAGAAAGGCGTTGAAAACATATAATCTACAACTACGTCATATTCGTCACTTTTTGAATTTAGCTTATTGTCAGGAATACTTTCAAGTGAGACAGGATTCAAATAATTTTCTATATGACTTGCTGTTGACCTAATTAATTTAAGTCGCTGATGATCCTCTAAAGATAAATTATCAATGAGAATAAAATAATGTCTTCTTTTATTGACGATAATAATCATCATACCTGTAACTGAAGCAGCATTATATATCACTAAACGAGCCAAGACTACCAACAATTCTTTCCTGTACTTAATATCAAGGTTATTTGATATATATAAAGCAGGATCATACGCAATTTTTATACAGAATTGCGGATCCCAACGCTCCATTTCTTGAATGAGCATCACAATCACCTAATTTTTGGTTGAGAACATTTTACTATTTTTTCAAGATTTGTTGAGAATTAATGATTATGCAAAAAGTCACCTGTCGTGGAATTACATATAATGTTTGAATAAACTCGTTTTCCAACTTTAAGCCTTGGACAAGATGTAAGTAGAGCTCTGTATCTATGCTATTAGTGACGCGAATGACATTATAATTTAATTCATCTCCAGCGAATTCTTTAGTGAATTCGACGCGTAGTTTAAAGAAACGCGTTAGTATTGTCATTGATCGTTTTATAGGAAAAAATTCTTTAACTATCATTGATAAACACCTGTAGCAATTAATGATTGTTGCCAGGCTTTGTATAAAAGCGAATGGACAATATATTTATTGGTACCAATGTCACTTGACAAATCAAACAATCTCAACAATGGGGGGATAAGGAAGTCGCGGCGTGTTTTTCTTTGATTATCCAATGGAACATGATTATGTGAGGAGCACACATGAATCAAGCTTAAAGTAAAAATGCAATATTGTCATTACGTGTCTATGCCTTGACTAAACTGTTTGAAAGCCAGTAAAATGCTTTCGAAGCCATTCTAATTATAAAAGGTTATTTTAATGTAATTACAAGAAATTGTAAACATGAAAAATAGTTTATAATATACTGTACCTGTAAATTCTTTAAGGTAGACATTTCACCGAAAGCTTTTGCGATTCACACGTAAATGCTAAAAAAACATGTTATCTCATATAGGCGGATTTGTTTCCACACTACCCGACGTTAGTAGCTCACCCACAAAAAATTTTCCGGTCATGTGACTTTTTTATGGCACTAGCCAATTATTTTTCGAG